CTGCTCGATCACTGCCGTCTCTCAGCACTCTCTTCAACCACCTCAGCACTCTTCGACTGTTGCCACTGGCCGACCGTCGCCACTGTTGGCCTTCTTGTTTTGATGATGTTTAACAAACAATTTACTACTAATGTTGTTTGTCTAGTGTTTGTACATTCTTATTTATTATAGACAAACAACGTAGTTGGAGGATGGATGGATTGCGCCATAACGACGATATCAAATGGAGGTTGGCGGAATGTCGGTGAAGCCTTGCTATTCAAAGTTCAAGATCCAAGTTCAAGCTTCATCCGCGAGATTACCAAGTCAAGCTTATTGAAGATCAAGATCATTGCTTGGGTAATTTAGTTTAGGAATTTATATTATGTGTGTTAGTACTTTAAGCTCAATCATATACACACATACACGTTTTGGATTTTGTATATATATAGTTATATATATACATATATGTTTTGGTTTGATAGTTTTCAAGTTTTACTATGAAACAAATGAATAGAATTGGAAAATACTATTTTGTTTCATGTTTATATGCCTATATATGATTTCACCTTTAACAAGCTTATATTTAATGAAATCATATTTAGTGTTTTGAATATATTGCATAGAATATGCAAATTTATGAAAATATTGTATTTCTAGATTATAGACTTCATAACAACATGTTATATCTTTTATCAAGTCTATACAATCATTTCATAAGGTTTCAAAATGTTGTTTAAGTCAAAATATCAAAATATCAATTTTCAGGTTTTCATGTTTTGGACTATTTTGTAAAATGATGATATTTTTCATTTGGGAAGTCCTTTTTCGAAACCAGTCATTGTAGCATGTTTATTATCATGTCTACAATCATTCCCCAAAGTTTTACATTTTTTGGAATTTATTTGATATTTTTAAACAGCATTTCAAAATCAGATAAACAGTTTTCATATCAGTTTTCGGTCGACCGCACCGGTCGACCGAACCTGAGGTCAAAAGTTATTTTCGGTCGACCGACAATATAGCCGTTGCTTTTTAACGGCTCTTTCTCTGAGCTGTTTGCTGGGGTTTTTGGTCATTTTGTTTTGGGGGTTTTGCTGAGATTTCTAGTGGGTATATATACCCCATTGCTGATGTCTTTTCAAGTTAGCCAAGAGAGTTTTAAAACAAGTTTAAGAAAGTTTTTAATCAAGGGTTTAAGTTTTGTTTAAAAGAGTTTAAGAGTTTGTTTGAGTTTAGTTTGTGAAGCAAATTTCACAAGAGCAAAGAGGAGATCATCCTTTGGTGTTTGGGCATTCAACTCATCTCTCTCTCACTCTTGATCTATAGAGAAGTTTTCCTTAAACTCAATTCTAGCTATTTATTGTTTTGATCTTAATTTCCATAAGCTAGATTTATATATTGAGTTTAATTGTTTTATTGATACTCTTTGTTCACACACAACCTTTTGAGCTTATTGTATTTACATTCATAGTATAATTTTGGGTTGTGAGATTAGTGACTTAGAGTTGTGCTTAATTGAGTTCTCACCTTGTTTAGAGAACAAATCATTTGATTTATATTGTGCTTATTGTGAGGATTCACTTGTAATACACTTGTACACCGAGAGAAGTGTGTGGTGAGAGACGGGGTCGAATCCAAGAGGAGTGGCGTCGGTTGACGTGCCTAGGGAGAGGTTGTAACCGAGCACTTGAGGAGGAGGACACGGGCTAGGACCAACACTTAGTGTGTGAGGTGTGATTACATAGTGATTGTATTGTGAGGTGTAAACGTTGTTCGGGTGAACGTAGAAAACCCGGTTGTGATAGTGGAGATCTCCTCGAGGTGAGGAGCGGGGACGTAGGTCATGGGGACCGAACCTCGTAAACATATCGTTTTGTTTGTGATTGCATTGGCGTTCTTTTTCTTGTTTTCATATCTTATATCGCCTTTGTGTATTGCTCATCATATTACCCTATCACTTGTGTAGATTGTTTATTTTACCCTTGTGTTAGTTCATATATCCTTGCTCATATTTTTGTAATATCTCATTGATAGGATATATTCATTTGTTCATATTGCTTATCCTAGCTTACGTATCTTGTTGTATTTTATACTTGCTAGGATAACTTATTAATTAGTTTTAATTGGCATTTAATCGGATTAGATTAGCATAAGACCCTAATCACCCCCCCTCTAGGGTCTAACAGCCACCGCTTACGGTCTAGATCTAGTCAACGACCACTATCATCGCCGCTCGTGATCCAGATCTAGTCGTCGACCGTCATTGCTTCTGCCGTCGTTCGTTGATCGCAGCCACCGGTGTAAGGTATTTTCATGTTAAAGTTTATTTTTTTAAAGCGGATCCTTATGATTTTTCATGTCCATCATTAATAGAAAAGCTTATAAGTTAACTTGGAATTCTTTTATTATCATTTTTCTTGCAATTTTTGGCATCCTGTTATATAGTAGTGAAAATTACCAAGGTTATTTGTTTCTATAGGCCTGTCATCTGCTAAACCTACTATCTAAGGAACTTTTGGAAGACTTTGAAGCTTGCGAAGAGTTGTTCATACCAGTATTATCATTATGCTGATTTAGCGTGTGGCCATTAGATTAATGTTTTCTGAAAAATATTTATTAACCTGTAGATTGATGTGTTTTAGGTGTTATTTAAACTTGTAGTGTTAACTATCCTTGTTATTGCTGAGTCTGCCAACAATTGCATAAAGACGGTATGAACTTTGAGCACTTGATTTAGTCATATGATATTGTGGTTTTACTGATATTTTAGTATTTCAAATGTTGTGAAACTTCAAGGTTGCTCATGTTCTCGGATAGCTGATTCTATAAAGAATGACAGGAGTACGGTTCTTCGTGCCAGGTAAAAGGAATTTAGTTGATTTGTGCTTTGGTTTTATCCTCATTCAACTATATGTCGTGTTGTCTCAGGTGCTGTGAATATGCATTACTGATACTCGAATACTAGGCTGATGCTCCTGAAATGCAGAGATCAGCGGAGCTTTATGAAGATCTCATAAAGTGTTGTGTTGCAGATGCAATGGGTGAGGTATAAAATTTTAATTTGATAATACATTAATACTATATGAATGCTTCTAAACAGGTTTGTTCATCTTGAACAGAGTTATAAGCAGTGTGATAAATGTTTAGTAAATTACTTCTCTTTCTAAATCCATTGATTTAAAGTGATAAGCTGTAAGGCAGCTTTTGGTCTGATATATGAGGGCTTATGGAGGTCATGGACATAAATGAGTATTAGTTAAGAAGATTTATTAGGAAAGTGTTAATTGAAAACAGGATGGATCAAATGACCATTAATTGGACTAATGGTGAAAAGTGATTCATATAGCTAATCTCAATAATTTGGTATAGAGGCAATGACCATTAATTGGACTAATGGTGAAAAGTGATTCATATAGCTAATCTCAATAATTTGGTATAGAGGCTCAATTATTGGTTGTAGTTGTAGGTGAAAAGTGATTCATATAGCTAATCTCAATAATTTGGTATAGAGGCTCAATTATTGGTTGTAGTTGTAGTATTAAGGCTTAATTCTGAGGCACACATAATTCAGAAAAAAAACTTATACAGATGTTCCATAAAAAAGATGGGATACAAGTCGTGGCTTAGAATAGCTTTATCTATTCACTTAGATGGATTGTCAAGGTATTTTTCACATGGTGATCAATTTTTCTAGTACTATACTTGACATGCATGCTTCTTTGAAAACAATGCAAAGCTTTCATGCAATCCATTCTTTGTCACTATATTCGTTTTCATGATTTAGGTTGATACCAATCTTTCATGCGTGAATCGATTGTTTCCAAGCATTAAGTTCCCTGCATGAGTTTTGACAATTTCAGGTTGTCATAACTGTGTAGTTTTGCTACAATTTTATGGATTTTTTTTAACAAACAATGTAGGCGTGTCTATATGAATTATCTATTTCTTGCTTGTGCAGTTTATTCGTAATTTTCGTTGCAAATAGAGGGCTGAATTGCTATCCATAACTATATAGGTTTTTTCGTTAGTTTGGCTGCCGTCAGACTTTTAAATCTCATTATCATTTACACGTGGAAAAATGACTCTAGGTGAAATGCGAACGTTGACAAAGACAAGTGTCAAATACAAGCAAGATTGTAGTTAAGAAGGTGGCTAGACTAGGGTGGAGAGTATATTATAGTTATTAGACAGAGATGAGATATGTATGTCAGTAAATTCCCAGAGTCATTATTTATAGGGCTGCAGGGAGAAGGATGATCATCAGAAGTGTAATGTTAACTTGATGATGTGAAAGATTCGTTACTCTTAATCCAATGGATTTTAAGTAACCAACCTCCAGTCTTGATTAAGACTTAGCAGGGGAATAAAAAGAGGTAGACAAGGCACATCGCCTAGTGGGGCACTATCCATGAAGTCAAAATAGAGGCACATCATCTGGTAGGTCATTATCTGATGAGTTTGACTATCAGAGGTAACTATTAACGTGATAGTTTTGTAGACCTGCCATCCTATTGAAGAGGATTGGCGAATTGATAGACTATCAGAGGTAACTGTTAACGTGATAGTTTTGTGGTCCTGCCATCCTATTGAAGAGGATTGGCAAGCTTATGGACTATCAGAGGTAAATGTTAACGTGATAGTTTTGTGGTCCTGTCATCCTATTGAAGAGAATTGGCAAGTTAAGGGACTATCAGAGGTAAATGTTAACGTGATAGTTTTGTGGTCCTGCCATCCTATTGAAGAGGATTGGCAAGTTGAGAGATTATCAGAGGTAAATGTTAACGTGATAATTTTGTGGTCCTGCCATCCTATTGAAGAGGATTGGCAAGTTGAGAGACTATCAGAGGTAACTGTTAACGTGATAGTTTTGTGGTCCTATCATCCTATTAAAGAGGATTGACAAGCCGATGGACTATGAGAGGTAAATTTTAACGTGATAGTTTTGTGGTCCTGTCATCCTATTGAAGAGGATTGGCAAGTTGATGGACTATCAGAGGTAAATGTTAACATGATAGTTTTGTGGTCCTGCCATCCTATTGAAGAGGATTGGCAAGTTGAAAGACTATCAGAGGTAAATGTTAACATGATAGTTTTGTGGTCCTGCCATCCTATTGAATAGGATTGGCATATTGAGAGACTATCAGAGGTAGTTGTTAACGTGATAGTTTTGTGGTCTTGTCATCCTATTGAAGAGGATTGGCAAGTTGAGGGACTATCAGAGGTAAATGTTAACGTGATAGTTTTGTGGTCCTGCTATCCTATTGAAGAGGATTGGCAAGTTGAGAGACTATCAGAGGTAAATGTTAACGTGATAGTTTTGTGGTCCTGCCATCCTGTTGGAGAGGATTGGCAGATTGATGGACTATCAGAGGTAGATATTAACGTGATAGTTTTATGGATCTGCCATCCTATTGAAGCGGATTGGCAGATTGATAGACTATCAGAGGTGATCATTAACGTGATAGTTTTGATATACTTCATGGTTGACAGATGTATTCTATTGAACATGACAACTCTGTAGGCATATAAAATTGCTTATAGGTCCCCTAGCATAGCTCGGCACAAACCGACGAACCAACGAGGCGACGAGATCGACGAATCGCACAGAAGCGACGGAATGAATCCACCCGAGTGCAGAATTAAGCTAATGAGTTGAGGAATCAACGAGTCATCCAACCGAGAGCGGACTCGGACGAATCACGATCGAATCAAGATCAATTTCGGACTCGAACTCAGAAGCGGATTTACTGCCAAATCAGGAATCCAACTTACTGCCAAATCAGATCATCAAATCAGAGTCTCAGATCAACCGAAACACGGACAAACGAGACAACGGAAAACGACTCGAAAAAGTCGGAAAACACCGCCCGCGGGGGCTCGGCCAAAGCCGAGCCACCTCAAGGCGGCTCGGCCTTAGCCGAGCCACCTTGAGGTGGCTCCCCAGATCCGCTTTGATTGCCTATAAATAGAGGGCTTGAGGCTCATTGTAAAAGGTTGGACTTTTTGAGGCGAAACTCTGCTGGATTGAGAGCTCAACTTTGGAGTTTTGAAGCTTTGTGAAGACTTGGCTTTTCAGATCTGGTTCTTGGCGATCATCCACGTCAGATAAGGCAGGAGTTCAAGAGAGAGAGATCAGATCTGAGATCTACACGACTATCCTCCGGATCAAAACTTGGTTTTTGATCCCGAGAAGAGTATCGATTTCGCTTGGTCGATTTCGATTACAAAAGGCTATTATTTCCTTAGCGAAATAGTACCCCCGGCTATTATTTCCTTCGTGAAATAGCATCCGTCATATCGTGTAGATCCGACCGGATCAAGATCACGCGGTGGTCTACGGATTAACCCCGGCGCAGGCGAAGAACCCACACAAGCAAGAGACCGCAAAACAGGATCTTGCGATTTGTTCGAGAAAAGGAGAGTTGTAATTTTTCTTTTTTTCTTTGATTTTGTTGTAACCGGATCTTATAAAAAGACTGGATCTTTTGTAATCAAAAAACTATTACTTGAGAAAGCAATGACATCAATGAAAGCAACTTTCATCGTGAACAGATGATATGTTTATTTCTTATTCTGAATTGTCTTCATATTCTTGCTATTGTGATCGGGGACCTGTGATTGAGATTTACGTATTTGACGCTTAGCGTATTAGATTGAGAAAAAAAATAAATAGTGTATATTTATTCTCAATCTAATACGTCGCGGACTTGTTCACGTTCCGATTCCCGAGTATTTTGGAAAGCGGGGCATGATAGGTTTTAGTGGTGGCTCATGCAGGTCACGGTCCTGAGTCCTCACTAGTAAGAATATAGTAGACAATTTAGATACATATCATATTTCATCTGTAAGACTATAATTAAGTTCTTATACTATTATCTTAATAACTATGTTTTAGCCCCTATTTTCTAATATATTGTTTTGATTTTAACCCATTTGATCCTCGGTTTCCTTCAGAACCATGGTGGGTACTCAAGGTTTTAGTAACCCGTCTAGTAGGAATGCCCCGCAGCCCGAAGTGGATCCAAACCAACTTCTGGCGATGATTCAGGGATTGGTCACCAATTAGCAGCACCTGGCTAGACAGATACACAGGGAGCCTCAGCACCAGCCTCCCCCTCGCGCAGAGTCTGAAGTTAGAGAGTTTCGATATATGCAACTTCCTTCCTTTTCTGGTGTCGAGGGACCTTTAGCAGCAGAGGAGTTTCTCAAGGTCACTAAGACTATTCTCACGGTGACCCGCATTCCCCATGCTGAATGGGTAGACCTCATGGATATTCAGCTCACCGACACCGCTTGAATATGGTGAGCAGCTAAGAAGACTCATCTGGAGAGGCCCATCTTGTGGGAGACACTCACTGACCGCTTCAATAGGAAATATTTTCCTCAGTCAGCTCGGGATGAACTCCTACGAAGATTTGTTAAGCTCAAGCAAGGAGGGCAAACAGTTGATGAGTACGAGGCCGAGTTTTCTTCTTTGAGCCGATATGCTCCCCACTTGGTTACAGACCCTACGATTAGAAGGCATCAGTTTCAGAAGGGTCAGGACAAGTACATTAGGATGGCTCTGGCAGGTAGAGCCTTGGTGACCTATGATGCGGTACTAGATGTAGCACGCGAGATTGAGAGCGTGCATAAGGAACCTGAAGACTCTCACGTGATTCAGAGCAGGACACCAGCAGCTCCGGCTCGAAATGTCGAGCGTCCCCCTTCGAGACAGCAGCAGCAGGATCAACAGAGGCAGCAGCATTCCCAGCGTCAACCATCTCATCAGACTCACCCTTATCAGCGTCCTGGAGAGAAGTTTCAGAGCCAGCCTTTGGTGAAGTGTTCTTATTGTAGCCATGCCGAGCATATTCAGCAAGATTGTCCCAGACGTCTTCGTTTGTGCTTCACCTACTGGTCCCCCGGTCATCTCAGTCGGGACTGTCCTCAGCAGCAGCAGGCTCGTTTGCCCCCACCTCCAGCTCGGGCAGCTCTTTCAGCTCTACCTCGACCAGCCCCGGCAGCACTACCTCAACATAGATCTTATCCTCGAGCAGGGCCACTTCCCCTACAGTAACAGGTATATCAGGAGGCATACAGACAACAACCTCGGCGACAGATGTTTATGATGTCAGCCGTAGAAGCTGAGGCGAGCGACTAGGTTATCACTGGTAAGAATTGATCATCTTAGTCTTATTTGCATATGAACTTCCTTATTTAGCATTACATAATGATATCATGATAGGATTGTTTATGAATACTAAGTTAGTTGCATTTACATCCTCCTATAATAGGCAAGGTTCTTGTTTCTTCCGTTCCTGCTTTATCACTCTTTGATTCTGGAGCCTCCCATTGTTTCTTGTCTCGTCGATTTGCGAGGGCCCACTCTCTTCCTATATCTCTTCTGACTATGGGCTGGAATATAACCACTTGTAGTGGCGTCTTAGTAGCATCCAGTGGTTATGAAGCATGACCTGTGGTTATCTACGGGAGGGAATTCTTTGCAGACTTTCCGGTGATTGATTTGCCGAGTTTTGATATAGTATTTAGGATGGATTGGTTGGGATTGTTCTTTGCCACCATTGATTGTCACCGTCGGAGCATAGTATTCGAGATACTGGATCACCAGAGATTTGAGTTCCTTAGTGGTAGTACATCGGCCGGACCTGTGGAGTACAGAGCTAGACCGAAGAAGGCGACGTAAGCTACAATGAAAGTGGAATCCGAGAAGCCAGATGTAGTTCGAGAATTTGAAGATGTGTTTCCCGACGATATTTACGGATTGCCACCGGATCGAGCGATTGAGTTTTTCATAGATTTGAAGCCTGGAGTTGCGCCAATCTCCAAGACCCCTTATCGTATGCCCCCGACTAAGTTGGCTGAGCTTCGGATTCAGTTGGATGACCTTTTGTAGAGAGGGTTGATTCGACCCAGTGTATCAGCATGGGGAGCACCTGTGTTGCTTGTGGGGAAGAAGGATGGATCCAAGCGGATGTGCATCGACTACCGAGAGTTAAATACGGTGACAGTGAAGAATAAGTATCCACTTCCCCGTATTGATGATATCTTTAATCAATTGGGAGGATCAAGAGTATTTTCTAAGATGGATTTGCGGAGCGGGTATCACCAGGTGAAGGTTAAGGATTCTGATGTCCCCAAGACTACGTTCCAGACGAGATATGGACATTATGAATTCTTAGTGATGCCGTTTAGTGTGACTAATGCGTCGGCGACATTCATGAACCTGATAAATCTGGTATTATATGATGTGCTGGACAAGTTTGTGGAAGTCTTTATTGATGATACTTGGTGTACTCTAAGAGTAAGGTGGAGCATGCAAAGCATTTGCAGTAAGTGTTGAAGACCTTAAGAGAGCATCGACTATTTGCCAAGTATAGTAAGTGCCAGTTTTGACTGGATCATATTGCATTTCTAGGGCACGTGGTGTCAGGAGACGGCATATCAGTGGATTCGGAGAAGGTATCTACAGTGAAGGATTGGCCTACCCCTAAGTCGGTGTCTGATATTAAGAGCTTCCTAGGATTAGTTGGTTACTACCATCGCTTCATCAGAGATTTTTTGAAGATTGCAGAGCCGATGACACGACTTACTAGGAAGGATATTAAGTTTGTCTGGTCCGACACTTATGAGCAGGTGTTTGAGGAGTTAAAGTCTCGACTAATATCGGCCCCGGTCTTAACAATACCAGATAAGAGTAGGAACTTTAAAGTGTTATGCGGATTGGGATGTGTTCTTCAGCAGGATGGTCATGTGGTAGCATATGCTTCTCGTCAGTTGAAGAAGCATGAGCAGAATTATCCTACCCACGACTTGGAGTTGGCAGCTGTGATTTTTGCCCTTAAGCTTTGGAGGCATTATTTGTTGGGAGAGCAAGTGAATGTGTTCACTGATCATAAGAGCTTGAAGTACATATTTACTCAGAAGGAGCTTAACATAAGGCAACCCCGATGGTTAGAGCTGATGGCGGATTACGACATTGATCTTCAGTATCACCTTGGTAAGGTAAATGTAGTACCAGATGCATTGAGCCGATTGTCGACGATCATGACCCTCACGGCGCAGTGGAAACTTCAACAGGAAGTGAGGGATATGAGTATAGAAGTTCTTCTTCCAGGAGTCACCGCTTCTTTGATGAATCTTCAGATTCAATCGACACTGATCGAACGAATCAAGGTTGCACAAGCAGGTGACCCATTTCTTCAGAAGTATAGAGAGCTTGTAGTGGCTGGTCTTCAATCGGAATTTGTTGTTCATGAGGACGGATCCTTACGGTTTGGGAATCGTATCTGTGTACCAGGAGGAGATATTCGAGAGGAGATACTATGAGAAGCTCATAGTTTACCATATTCTATTCACTCTGGAGGTACGAAGATGTATAAGGATCTGAAGCTGAATTTTTGGTGGCGTGGTATGAAGAGAGATGTGACTCGTAGTGTGGCTAAGTGCCTTGTATGTTAGTAGGTGAAGGCAGAGCCTCGGCACATCGTAGGTCTTTTGCAGCCATTGCCTATTCCGGAATGGAAGTGGCAGCATATCACCATGGACTTCGTTACTGCCTTACCTCGGAGCACTAGACAAAATGACGTTGTTTGGGTGATCGTAGATCTATTAACCAAATAGGCTCATTTCATTCCCTTCCGAGTGGGACAGTCAACGGAGCATCTTTCTCAGAGATACATAGAGGTAAATATTTATCTCTATATATTTTAATGAGTTCCTTTCCCAAGAGTTTTAGTAAATCTCTCGTATTGCAGGAGATCATGTGATTACATGGAGTTCCAGTGTGCATCATTTCAGATCGCGATACCCGATTTACTTCAGAGTTCTGGAAGAGTTTGCAGGCGAGTCTGGGGACCAGTCTCAGTTTCAGCACAGATTATTATCCCCAGACTGATGGATAGTCAGAGAGGACTATTCAGATTTTGGAGGATATGCTCAAACCTTGTATGCTTGATTTCCACGGGTCGTGGGAAGATCACTTGCATTTGGTAGAGTTTGCATACAACAATAGCATCCAGGCAAGCATTGGGATGGCCCTTTTTGCAGCATTGTATGGGAGGAAGTGCCGCTCTCCTTTGAGTTTGGACGATTTTGGTGAGCGGGAGATTTTTGAACCAGAGTTGATTGACAAATCAGTTGATGCAGTCAGGATCATTCGGGAGCGACTCCGCATTGGGCAGACGTGAAGCACCGGCACTTGGAGTTTCAGCCAGGAGTTCATGTGTTCCTGAAGATTTTCCCCAACCGAGGCACCATTCACTTTGGAAGGCGTGGGAAGTTGAGTCCCCGATATGTGGGACCTTTCGACGTATTAGAGAGAGTAGGAGTAGTGGCGTACCGACTTGCATTACCACCCACCCTGGCTGGAGTGCATAACGTATTCCACGTCTCTCAGTTACGGAAATACGTCGGAGATCCGAGTCATGTCGTAGATTTCTCAGAGATTGAGGTACGATTCGATTTGACATACGAGAAGCAGCCAGTGACGATTCTGGACCGAAGGGAGAAGACCCTCCGGAACAAGATCGTCTCGCTTGTTCGTGTGATGTGGCATCCAGATTCTCCTGGAGAGTCGACTTGGGAAACTGAGTCTAAGATGCGACATCGATACCCTTATTTATTTCCCAAATCTTAACTGTCATGTTTTATATCTTATTTTAAATCACCTTGTATGACTTTTCTCATTTATGGATATGCAATATATTTTGAACCTTATATCCTTGTATGACTTTTCTCATTTATGGATATGCAATATATTTTGAACCTTATATGAGTTGAATTGAATCTATCTTTATATTTCATATATTTTGAACCTTATATGAGTTGAATTGAATCTATCTTTATATTTCGTCCTTGTTATTTTAATTCCTAGGACGGAATTTGATTTAAGGGGAGTAGGATGTAAAGACCGTAAAATTTAATACTAGTTAAAATAGTTTTCTATTATTTTTAAATATTTAATTATTATTTTTAGAAGATTGTTTGTATTTTCGTTAATTTTCAGTAATTTTCTATGATTTAAAATCCAAATTTTATATTTATACAAATGATTTTAATATCTGTAAATTTATTTAATCTTCTAAATTTATATAATGTATATTTATACAAGGAAAAATATAGGGAAACTTCTATTTTCTCTAACTATGCTTTTGTATTAGGTTCATTGTTTACAATATTAGTATTTCTAGTATGTATCGTTGCGATATTTGTTGGTTTCTCTATTGCAAAAAACATGTGATGTAATTTGTATTAGTATTTCTAGTGTTTGTCTTTAGTAATGTTCCCTTATTTCTGTTGGAAAATTTGATGTAATTCGAACGCTGGTCATTAGCTCCGATTATAGTTGGAAATATTTGTTTTGGGGCATAATAGGTTTTATGTGTAATTTGGCAACTCAGTTTATTCCAAATTGTGAAAGAGGAAATGTTGAAAATGATGAGCAGTTTAAAGAGTTAAGAATGAAACGGTTGAGGAGCTGGAGTTTGAGCTAAGTTATTGTTATGTTAACATGAGTGAGATGAAGAAAGAGGAACTTGGCTTGCGGTTATTCTATGGAGTTAAGAATGAAACCTGTAACATGACCTTTTGCATGTGTGTTGTTCAAGCATCTCAAGATGGTAAGTGGTGATTCTCAAATGGTAACTGTCAAAATGTAACAAGCGAACCACTAACATAAACCAGAACAGGGAAAAAGAATAAAAAGAATGCCCATTAGCATACCTTCAACTAAATTATATGGCAGACAGTATTTACAATACATGCAGCCCACAAGAATTGAAGATAGCATATGGCTTCCATTAGCATATGACAGAATTAACAAATGTAACAAGCATACACCCACCACTTACTCACAAACTGATGTCAAAATTAACAAAAGTACATACATAAAACCCAACCACTTCTCACAAACTGATATCAAAAGCATTAACCACATGGAATAACAAGAGTACATACATAAAACCCACCACTTACTCACAAACTGATGTCAAAATTAACAAAAGTACATACATAAAACCCAACCACTTCTCACAAACTGATATCAAAAGCATTAACCCACAACTTTCACAATGTATTCCACCAGAATCCATAAACCAGTCTTACAATCCATAAACCAGAAATTAAGCAAGTTGTTGGCTTCAAGAGTCAAAATGAAAATGCTCATAATACAGTCTTACAATCCATAAACCAGAAATATATTCCACCAGAATCATATGAAAGTCCAAACAACAGCAGCAGGGTTAAACAACTACTTTGTTGTATTATTTATGTCTGAGTACTAAAAATAGCATAACGGAACTTCATATAAACCAAAATTAACCAAGTTGTTGGCTTCAGGAGTCAAGAACAGAATAAGTGCATCCTTGCATCTTCTATTGCATTGCCAAAAAAGATGAACAAAGCTCAGTGACCAGAGAACAAATTCCTGCATCTATCTGCTGAAAACATCATGTCTGCAATTTTAATTCTTGAATACAGTACCTGCAAGGAGCGTGCAACAAGTATACATCAGATGTAATCTAATTTGTAGATGTAATCTGAAACAGAAGGTTCATAGCACAACATTAACGTGCAAGAGCTTATGGCAAAAAGAAAAACTTGTGTAAAATGATTATTAAAGGAAGGAAAAATGGAATTAATTGATGATGACCTTTTTCAGTGTCAATCTTTTGACGCACGCAATAACTTACTTTATGTGATATAAAGAAGGTACCAGATTTCACAGATAATACTCTAGCTAATAGAGACCTATATTTTTCAATTTTTGTAATATTTCACGAACTATATACTCCATTAATCCATGCGGTAGAACTGTTGTATTTCTATTGAGAGGATACGTGTTGTAGAATTCATAGAGAGCCTTAGGTTTTCCTCACTTATTTCACCCATGTTATTGGGTTTAAATTTCTGAATATTCTGTGTAGACTGTGTATCTATATTTTTTCATACAGGTGAAACCAATGTGTTTTAGTTAATTATTACCAAAGCTATATGCATGGAAATACAAGGATATAAGATATTTGTAATTCTAAAGCCTATCACATAAGACTAATTGTTTCTGGATATACCTTTAGAACTACTCCCCCATCATCCCCATAGAAGCATGTAGAAGACCGTCTTCATTGGAGCCCATCATCCCCATCTTCACTTGATGACCCATTACCCTCTTGCCAATTTGTATCACCGCATGTAGAAGACCTACATTATAAAGAAAAAATATATATATACACCAAGGGGATAATAGAAGGTGAAGAATAAGAAAGGATTAAATAATAAAAGAATTACTACTTACGGATTTGTGAGTGCCGGACAATTTCGCTTATCATGTGATTGGCCTACTTTACCACACCCGTGGCAACGTCTATCTTTTTTATTTTTTGCTCTAGCCATTGCTTTCTCTTTTCCTCCCTTCAACCTTTTGCCGCACCCTTTTGCTCGCACTTGATCGGGTTCATTGAAACTATTTTGAAAAGTACAAGAATCCTGCACACTAGTACCATCATCCATTAAATTACTACTCATTTGATTATTTTTCTCGGTGAAGCTCTTTGCAACCGTGCGGCCACTAACCGTCTGAGTACTAATGAATTGGTCGATTTGCTCATTAATGATACGCACTCCATCGGTAAACATCTTCCTCGTTTCTTCACCCAAAATCATTGTCACCACCAAAATCCCTCACTGATCAATTTCAATTGACGGTGAGTCCACCAAAAATATTTTTTTTTCTGGCCCTCTTGATTCTCTCCATGAGCAAGAGGTCCACTTTCAGTTCGGAGTCCCTTTTCGATCTTCCTCGTTTCTTCACATACAAGGGACTTGTCAACTAATTCCAAAGATGATTGGATAAATTGACTTCGTGTTAAAAGATAAGAATTGTCAGGGTTTATCTGCATACCTTTATCATCAACCACTATCCCCGATTATGCAGACTTAGTCCACCTCTTTAAGATGTATTTATCGGGCAATATTTCAGCATCAAATTTCATCAAGTAGGAGATAATGTGAGTACATACGATTCCGGCGCTTTCAAACTTTTTACAACTACAAGAAACCAAATCCAAGTCCTTGTCATAAACGATTTCGCGGACTTTGCTTGTTGCGAGCTTCTTTCTTTGAATTTGATACACACGGCGATTGTCGGTTTCCCTAACAAACTGCAACTTGTAGTTAAAGCTGTCACACACTTCAACCTCAAACTTGAAATACATCTCATTAGTGTAAATATCAACCATTTGCTCCAAAAAGTCATGATTTATTCTTAGTTTAGGTTTCTCAATCAAGTCTTTGTGATCGGCCATCAACTCCTCGTGACGTTGGCGCACTAGTCCCCTGCCAAACTGTATCATAAAATCCACCAATGAATTATTCTTCGAAACAAATTTCTTGAAGAATGCATGTCCACTTTCTGCTCGTTGGCTACTTGACATGTCTGCTGAGAAAATGTGATTAACATATACAGGAATCCATCTTGACCGAAGTTCATATTGGTCTTGCAACCACCTGTTTCCTTCTAACCCACTTTTCCTAATCAGACTTTTCCATTGTGTGTCAAATTCTTCAGGAGTCTCTGATTTCCAAATGCAAGCCGAGAACTCACTTTTATAAATACTATACTTCACTGCATCAATTTTCTCAGAAAACTTCATTAATATATGCCAACTACAATACCTGTCAAAAGAATTAAATAAAGTGTTAAAAAGAAAGACTATGCATATAAATATTTTTAATAATATACACAAACTATAATACCTGTGAAAAGTATTTGGAAGAACAAGAGGGAATGCCTTAGTCATCGCTGGGTCTTGATCGGTAATAATCATCTTCGGGGCACCACCAGGCATACTTTCCAAAAATTGATTAAATAACCACACAAAATCATCAACGCTCTCATGATTCAAAAATCCACAAGCAAAAATAATTGTTTGACCATGATTGTTAACCCCCATTATTGGTGCAAATATAAAGCCATAGCGATTAGTGTTGTAAGTAGTATCAAAGATTACAACATCACCGAAAAATTTATAAGCCCGCCTTGATCTTGCATCGGACCAAAAACAACGAGTAATCTTTTGTTCCTCATCGGCCTCAATTTGAAAAGTAAATGCGGGATTCTTTCCTTGTTCTAATTTTAAATATTCATAAAACATTTCACCATCATGCCCCTTCAAATCAGCCCGTATATCCCTTTCATGATTATACAAATCTCTTTGAGTGCACCCTATATTTTCTATACCTCCTGATTGTACTCCAAGAAAACTGAATTGTTGATGCTGAGGTATATTCACCATGGATAACTGTTTAGTTAGAGACTTTGTTGCGGCTGAAACGTTACGATGAGATCTTAAAAGATGAACCTTTGATGGTGTTGATAGTGGGTGACTATGCTCCTCATTAAAAACAGTAACAATGTATTTTCCGGAGTTTGATTTCAAAACAGCAATTTTGGCAGTACAATCCTCAGCTAAGTTTCCCCGACGTCTTTTCTTTCCAACATCCGCGATTTTTAAAGATTTTCCTTTTTTAAAACAAACATACTCCTTCCTTATTTCACAACTTCCCGGCTCTTTCTGAGTAGTCCAAGACCTTACACTAAACCCAGTTGCTTTAGCATAAGCATTATAGAATGTCAAAACATCATCTATTGTGTCAAATTCTTGCCCTTTTTTTGGCCTCAGCTCATCTGAAACTTGAGGAGTATATATCAAATCATCGTCGTCCAAGTTTACTTCATTAGCTTCAGTGCCCAAGTTATCCATTCTGTAATTAACCATGTTAAAAATATATGTATATTAAGATGCAGCAAGTATTGCATACTAACAGGTTTAATAATCAAGGTGCCCCTAGCAATAAAATATTTTTCGTAATAGAAAGATACAGGTGTATGGGGGGTTTACAAATGATCCTATCACTGTAAGAAATTGATACTATGAAAAAATATGAGTACAAATGATCCTATCACTGTAAGAAATAAATGAAATCATTTGAAAGCATTTAGACCATAAGCCATAGTGTTAAGTTTCAATGTGATCGGCCAGTTTGCATTTCTCAATACTTTTAACACAAGTAGCTAGGTCTAAAAGCATTATGGGCTCTGTATTTGGATAGACCTAACTGTTCATAAAGGAAAAGGCATTTATAACAATCTGGTGAGTACAAGACTGATACTGAGCACAAAATACAAATTGCCCAGGCACAAGACATACGAAAATATTTCATACAAATAATAAAAAATTTCAGATCTACAAAATCATATAAGCATGTCATATTCTCTTCATAACCATCACATTCTCCACACACAAAATTAAACTTTTAGATCTCACAGAATTATTTTAATCTCACAAGCCATGTAGATGATGCATCCTACAGTACCCTTTAGATATCCAGATGCATACCCATTCTATCTAGAAGTAAAATAATAAAAAATGAAAAAAATTGTTGTCACTAGCGAGATTAAAATATGGAAGCAAAAGAAAAAGAGTCATAGTGTTATGATTATAGATTGATTCCTAAATAAAATACCGATAGAGCTCTGTACCTTCAACCACGAGCATGTCTGCGGTGACTTGTAGCCGGAGGAGGAGGAGAAATGGGGGAAATCGGCTGATTCAACACGGAGCTTCAGCGGTGATCTTGGGAGAAATGGGGGAGAAATGGGGGAAGAAGAAGCAGGGGGTCACGAGCACTTGGAAGAAAAATAAATGCGCTGTGGGGTTTTTGATTTCGTCGTCGCCAATTTTTCAAAAAACCAATAAAGCTGTGATTTTGGGAGAAATGGGGGAAGAAGAAGCAGGGGGTCACGAGCAGCACTTGGACGAAAATTAATGCGCTGTGGGATGTTTTGATTTCGTCGTCGCCAACTTTTCAAAAAAAACCCTGCTTTATCCCACACGAGCTCGAGATTCAGTGATTCCCATTAACTGCTGCTTCGTCGCCAATTTATCAAAAAAACCCCTGCTTTTAACAATTCGGAGCTGATGCGTACGCACTTATGCGCATGGGAAATCTTCTGTATATATATATATATATATGTATATATATATATATATATA